TGACTTTATCAACCTTTTTTATGGTCTTTTGATTTTTGAGTCACAGTTAGACTTTTCCCACTATGAGATTATAAATTCTCCCATGGTTTCCACTAGTGCTTTTATGGTTTTATTTTGAGTTTTCCAGCACTTAAATCTCTGATCCCTTTGGAGCCCATCCTGGTGCTCCGTATGAGCACAGATCTGGTGGGGGTTTTTTCTTTTCACAGTTGGCCACCTCGCTGTCCCAACACCATGCATTGAAGAGTTGGCTCTCCACTTTGAGATGCCACTTGTATCAGCTATTAAATCCCCACGTGCATTTGGGTCTATTTTTGGACTTCCTCTTTTAGTCTGTTGGACTGTTTCTTCCTGAGCCCATTCTAAATTGTTTTAATTGAAATTGTGTGTGCATGTGTATGTGTGCACTGTAACACTGGGGTTCGATCCCAGGGGCTCACACATGCTAGGCAAGCACTCTACCACTGAGCTATACAACTCCAGCCTGAAGGTTCAAACACTATTATCTAGTAGTAGTAAGGTTAAGGTTAGTGTTGCTTTCTCCTTCCTTCCTTCTCATTTCCTTTCCCTTCATTCCTCCCCTTTTCTAGAATTTTCCTCTTATTCTCCTTTCTCTTTTTCCTGAGTGTTTGGAAACTTCAAGAGATCTCACAGGACTTATACTCCTGTAGGGGAACAGAAAACAAATAATGACATGCCATTTGATAGTGCTAAGAACAAAACAATAATAAAGCACACACATGGCCAGAGACAGCTGAGGAGGAGCACTCAGTGAGCAGCTGGGAAAGGCCCTGGATGAGGGAGATACCTGAGCGAAGGAGGAGGCCATGGGGAGGCAGCTAGCAGGAGCCCCAGCGGCTAAGCAAAGGCCTGAGGCAGGAGGCAGGAGGCAGGAGCGCGTTGAAAACAGCAAGGCAGTGCAAGATGGAGCGGGGAGGCAATGAGGGAGCACACACAGGGCCTTGCAGGTCATGGCAAGGACACTGGGTTTTCCTTCCACACCAGGAGGCTTGAGAGGCGGTTGGCCAGGGGAGTGACATGTTCCGACCTTTGTGTTTGCAGTTCAGTTCTGCTGCTGGGTGAGTGTGTGGGCAGGGGCAGGGCAGGAGGGGGAGGATTTGGGATGGAGGAGGGAATAATACCTCGGTTTTCTTGTCCATTTCCCCCCACCAAGCTGTGAGCTTCAAAAGGGCACCAGTGCCAGGCACAGGGTGGCAGGGATAATGGATACACCTTCTTGGGGGGAGGAAGGGAGGGAGGGCAGAGGAGAAAAGAGGGAGGCAGGAGAGGCAGCACCCTGGGGAATGGCTCTGTCAAGGCCACAGGAAGCAGAGGCAGACATGAGAAAGCCAGTTCCCCAGCACAGGCTGAGCAAGGCCAACCGGGCTGAAGCTGGAGGTGAGGCTGGGGACCCTGCCCCCCACTGCACAACCTAGGAGCTATGATCCCCATCAGGGACCTGGAATGCTAGCACCTTGCCATCACAGGGTCCCTGGAGAAGTGCTCTGTGCTTCAAGGTGAGGGTTTAAGGGTGAGGGGACAGGAGAGAGAAGGGCAGTGTTCCCAAGCCCTGGCACACTGAGGCCCCATGGAAGGATAATTCACCCACTTTCTAAGTGATAAACTGAGTCTCCAAGACGAAAAGGAACCATTCAGGGTTGTATGGCAAGTGACTCAGCCCCATTTCAGGGACAGGGTCTCCACAGGAGAAGGCTCCTGGCCCCTGCCTAGTTTGGCCCGGATCCCTCTGCACTTTTAGGGAGTGTGAATGCAGAAGGAAGGGGTGCTCTTGTGTTCAGCCAGCCCTTAGCCGTTGCCAAGGCACAGGTGTGGAGTCCCCACTGGGGATGAAACCCAGCTGTGGGGAAGAGGAGCAGGAAACCCTTCAAACCTCATGATGTTTCTGCAGAACGGGCCTGGGAGCAAGGTGGGTAGACAAGAAGCACTAAGCTGAGAGACTGAGGGGAAGATCATGCTTTGAAATTAGCCCTGGCTTTGCCCATCTCACAGTGTGACCTTAGGAAAGTAGCAACCATCCAGGAATCTCAGTGTGTGAATCTGTAAAATGGGGACAATATCTCCTCCCTTACAGGGCTCACATGGGAGTTGACTAAGGCTGTAGGGGTCCAGTGCTACTTTATTAGAAATGTCTTTTCTTTGGTGGGTTTTTTTTGGGGGGGGGTACTGGGGATCGAACTCAGGTCCTTGCGCTTGCTCAGCAGGCAGTGGAACCACTGAGCTAAATCCCCGGCCCTGTTCCAGTGCTACTTTAAAGTGCTTTCTTCTTGGCTTCGCCACTCCTACACTGGGGACCTGGTGTCTCTGTCCCTTCAGATGCTGATCAGTGGCCCCTAGACAAAGGGAAAATGGGCTGTGGTGGCGTCTCAAGTCCCAGGCCAACAAATGGATCCAGGCTGTGGGGCATCTGGCCAGTGCTGCTATCCATGGGCCCTAATAGGGCCAGGTGGGCTACAGGTGTTTTCAGGACAAGTGAGCAGGCCTGGGCTTCGTACCAAGTAACAGACAAGGTACTTGCCCCCTCTGGGCCTCACTCCAGGGAATCTCTTGGGCACTGGCTGGTGTGGGCAGGAATTGGAGACTTTTCATCAAGCAAACGGAGCAGACTACTTCAAAAATAGTGAGCTCCCTGCCTCTGCAGGTATGTAAGCTGAGGGAGAACAGGCACTCTGTAGAGATTCACTCATTCATTCGATGAGCTTCTACTGAGAACTGACTTTGGGCCTGAACCTGTTCCCATTATTGTCATTGAGGGACACAGTCACAAGTAGGTAGTTACTGTCCTGTAACTGACATTCTTTTCTTTTCTTTTTTTTTTGTTTTTGGTTTTTTGAGAGAGGGTCTTGCTGTGTAGTCCAGGCTGACCTCGAACTCATGGTGATCCTCCTGCCTCAGCCTCCTGAATGCTGGGATTACAGGCGTGCACCATCATGCCTGGCCTGACATTCTAACAGAGGAGAAAGACATACAATAGTCTACAGAAGTACATGCTTCATAAGTAGGAGCTGATCCTGGAACCTTTCTCCCCATCCAGAAGTGATTCTGTCTGTCTCTCTGTGTCTCTGTGTCTGTCTCTCCCTGTACCAGGGATTGAACCCAGGGCCCTTGCATTCCCAGATCTTTTAAATTTTTTATTTTGAGACAGGATCTCACTAAGACACTAAGTTGCCCCAGCTGGGATTTTATTTGCCCTGCCTCAGCCTCCCAGTGCTGGGACTGCAGGCATGCATCACTATGCCTGGGTCAGGGAAGTGTTTTTCTAAACTAAAATTTGAAGGAACAATGCAAGTTAAGTAGAGAAGGGAAGAGTGTTTCTGTCTGAGAGAACAGCAGGGCCAAAAGCCCAGAGGCAAGAGACAACCAGGCAGTTTCAAGGAGCTGAAAGCTCAGCCTGGTCAGAAGGAAGAAAGCAGGAAGGGGAGCAGCCACCCTAGGGGAGGTCAGGAGTGACTCACTGTGCTGAGCTGAACAGGAACCTGCTTTAGGGTCACCTTCTCCCCTGATGGTAGAAGTTGAGGATTAGCCAGGTGGAAGGTGAAGGAATAGGGAAGCAGAGAAGTGGTCCCAGCAGAGGGAATCATGTGTGCAAACACCTAAGAGAAGAAAGAGCTGAAAGCTGCCAGTCTGGCGAGAGCCTGGCAGGGGGAGAGAGTGAGCTAGGGGAAGGGCTGTCTGAGAAAAGAGAACCAGGCATGGCCTGAGGGTAATAGGGAGCCACAGAAGGGTTTTATGCAAGGGAGTGACCAACCTCGGTAAGAGCCAGGACAAAAGTCCTGGGATCCCTGCAGACCCAAGACCTCAAAGAACCTCTGAGGAATCCAGTTCTCTTAGGCACCGCCTCATCAGAGCCGTATCAGGAAGGATGTGGAAACCTCAAAGGGACGAGGCCAGAGGGCCCAGAGCTGGGGTTGGGGAGAGTGTGGGGAAAGAAAAGGGTGGAGGTTCATGAAAGCAGAAAGTACTGCTCCCAGCTCACCACAGACTCGATGACTCCAGAAGTCAGCCCCCAGGACCTCTGGGCTAGGACAATTCTGTCACCCTAGGAAGGGGAATCGAGTCCCCAGAGGTTAAGCGAAACTGCTCTAGGTCACAGAGCAAGTCGGTGGCAGAGCAGGGTCAAGGAGGAAGAGTATCTACCGAGCCCCTCCTGCTTCGAGCCCAGAGCAGGGCACTTAATGCATCACCTCAGGCCATCCGGCTCGGATCCCTGCACAGCCTGAGGTGCAGTTCGCTCCGGCCACCCCGAGTTAGGGCCGAGACCCTGGCCCACAGCCGCTGCTCCCAGCTCCTTGGATCTGAGTTTGGGGTGAAGGGGAGGCCGAGCATGTCGAGGGGGTTGGGGTGCGGCTGTGCTTGTGGGACTTCCCTCGCTGAGGTCAGAGTCCCTGAAATGGCCCCGCTCGGGTAAGCGCGGAGAGGCTGGGTCACACCCTCTGCCCGTGCGCAGCGGAAGCGGTCCAGCAGCACCGCGAGTCCTCCGCGCTGCTCCATTTCCCTGCCGAACCGCGTGAGCATCGCGGAACGCTGGACGCCCACTCTTCGCCTCGATGGCTCCTCGAACGCGCCAGCGGGCAACACCGACGCGCTGGCGCTGGCGCTCTGCTGTCCCGTCGGGTGGCAGTAGGCGCGGACGCCTCGTCTCCTCCTACGCTCGCGCAGCATCCACAGCTACCGCAGCCACCGTGGGTGGGGTCGCCGCCGCCTGGTGCCCGCCAATCAGGAAGCGGGAGCTGGCTCCAGACACGCCCTCTCTGACTTCACTCAAACAGGTCCCGGAAGCCCCGCCCAGTGGCCTTGCCTGGGAAAAGCGATGGGGACTGGTGGGTGTGGGCTCTCCAAGGGTGAGAATAACTCCCACGTGAGTCGCGCATGTCATAACTGCCCTAAGAAAGACAGGAAGGGCAGAGAGGTGTCTAACTTTAAAGTGTATTTATTCATTCAGTCACTCCTTCAAACATCCATCTGTCCATCTATCCATCCGTAAATGAGCTAAAGTTTTGTGGAGCCAGATGCTATGTTGGGTGCTGGCGATAAATAACAATCCTGTGCTTGTCCTCAGGGAGCTCACAGTCTAGCAAGGAGGCCTGAGAGTAACAAATGCTCACACCAAGCAGGCTTTTCTTGCAATCAGGATCAGCCCTAGGAACTGTAAGGTGCAGGTTGCTGCAGTAACAAGGCGTCTAATTTAGGTTGGGACTCAGGTCCCTCAGGAGTTAGTTACACTGAGCTGACTCCAGAAGCAACAAGTGTTCCTGGCAGAGGAAGGAGCTTATGCAAAGGCACTGAAGTTAACGGGCACTTGGGGGGTTCTGGGAAGGAAAAAGAGGTCAGCACAATAAAGAAAAGGAAGCAGGGGATGAGATAAGGCTCTCGAGGTTTGAGAGAGATTATCTAAAACATTGAAGGCCATGCTAAGGAAGTAGGATTTTATTTCAAGTGTGATGGGCAGCCCGTGGGTACTTGTGTTTTAAGATCTTCTTAGCTCTGTGTGGAGAATATCAGTAGTGGACCCAGGGGAGCAAGAGCAGACACTGGGAGACCTATTAGGGTGACCTTGTGGGTGCCCTCGGGCCTGAGGGTAGCAGCTAGATGAGAGGGGGAACACATGGGTGGAGAGATGTGAACAGGTTCAGGAAATAATTAGAAGACACAATCTCCAGGCTGATTGGTTGATAGATTGAATGAGGGGGGTGGGGGATGACGCAGAGGGGAGTTAATATTAAATCACTCATTCATTGGACAATTATTTATAGAGTCCCCTCTGGTTGCCAGGCACTGTTTGAGGGAGGCAGACTCTCTGGGATCAAATCCTGGCTCTGTCACTGGCTGTTTGCCTCAGGGAAGTTATTTAACCTCTCTTTGTCTGTAAAACAGGGACCCTAAGAATTCACGAGAGGATTATTGCAAGGGTTAAATGAGTTGGTATATGTGAAACCTTGGATCTGAGTGTTTAGAGCCAGGTTCTGAGGCTGAGGACTTGGGTTTGAGTAACTTGGGGCTGAGTGCTTAGGCCTGCTTTGTAGAGCAACCAACGCTTCCATTTCTTTACTTCCCTTATACAGAAAGTTTGTTTGTTTGAGATAGGGTCCTTCTATATAGTCCAGGCTGGCTTCAAACTCACAGTGATCCTCTTGCCTCAGCCTCCTGAGTGCTGGGATTACAGGCGAGGGCCACCACACCCAGATCCCTTGTCTAGAAAGTTGAAGCAGGTTGATATGCTGGAGCAGTGGTTCCCACTCCTGTCTGAACATTAGGATCACTTGGGTTTTTGCTTTTGTTTTTTTAATTCCAAAAGTCCAGGCTGCACCCAAGATCAATTACATCTCAATTTCTATGGATAAGACACAGCACAGATGGCAGTATTTTTTTAAACCCTCAGGTGATTCCAGAAGCCAGGCACGTGGTGCATCCCTGTAATCCCAGCACTCATGAGGCTGAGACACGAGGATCATCTGAGCCCAGCTTGGACTACATAGTTCGTGGTCAACCTGAACTAAATTGAGACCCTGTCTTTAAAAAAAAAAGTGATTCCAGGTACAGCAGGTTTGGGAATCATCATGGTAGCAAGAAATAAGGAGGCTACTTTATAACAGGAGGTCAGGGAGGGCTTCACTGGGGAGGTGATATTTGAATGGAGACCGAAGAGTGGAAAAGGAGCTGTCATTAGATATTCAGGGGGAAAAGCAAACATGTGACTTGGGCCCCTGCATGCTTGGAGGAGCCTCTGCCTGAAGTGGGAAAGGCTGAGGGAGAAAGGGACTGCGGTTGGTAGGTTCCAAGAGATGGGTGAGTTACCGTGGTTGAATGAAGACTTTGTGTCCCTTCTACAGGTCGCACCTGAGACTCTTGGTAGCTGTTGGCACTGGGAGTTGACCCCCCCCCGACTCATCAAGAATTCATGCTCACCCACTGGGGCACCGGTCTGCCAAGAACGCCACCTGTGGCATCATCCCTACTGCCACCTACCCCATCCTGCCATGACTTGTAACTAAGCAGCCCCTGGCAGATCCTCTTGCCAACCTCTAACACTTCCTGTTTCTCACACCTGCTCAATGACAGAGGCGGACCAGGCTGTCTGCTGGCCAGACAGTGGCGAAGCACAGGCCCAGATAGGGACACAGCTGGTCAGTCATGCAGCGATGCTAAGGGGAAACAGGCCCCACACCAAGCCCCTGCTTCTCTGCTAACTAGGCCTGATTTGGGGAGGTCTCTCTCTGCCTAACTTCTTGGTTCTAACCTGCTGGGGAGATCTGGTTCTCCATTGGATGGGGTGTGGGAGGGTGGAGGCTAACACCACCCTGCACTAGCGTGTGTGTGTGAATAGAACAAAAGCAGTAAAATGACCTCAGTTGGGTTTTGTGGTTTTTTGCATGGCTGGACTGGCATTTCCCTTGATGTTGGCTACAGAGGAAGAATCGGTCCAGTTAATCCTAGGAAAATGACTTGAGACCAGCTCTCCAGGAAGGTAAAGATACAGGCAAAGGCCCCTGGGCACCTGCCAGGCTCTGACTGGGTCCTAGATCCTCCACTGGGAGCTGGGAACTAGGGGTTGGGGTATTTGAGGGCAAGTACTTGGGGCTGGGTTCTAAGGCTGGGTACTGGTACTTGGGTACTTGGGGGTAGGTGCTTGGGCCTCCTTTTCAGAGCAACCAAGGCTCCATTTCTTTACTGGTCTGTATTGAGGAGCCTGAACCCTTCCATGACTCTCTTCTTTGTGGTGTCACAGCATGTGGCTTCTCACAATGGCCCTGCCTGTCTCAGCTGTCTGTTCTTTTGAAATGCCAGGGTGAAAGTAAAGAGAACATTCCACTGAACCTCTTCATGGGGCATCTCTGGGATCCCATTTCTTTGTCCTTAATCTTCTAAACCCTCCCCTAGCCATCTGCTTAAAGGAAGTGGCTCCTCAGTTCTTCACAGGAAGCCACAGGCCTCCTCTGCTTCAGCAACCTCCAGCTGCTGCTGGCCCAGGCCCCTGCTGGCCCAGGCCCTTTTCCAGGCTGGATTTAGGGATGCCCTGTTCCTAGCATTACCCTCTGTGCCCAGCCCAGAAGTGTGTGTGCATGTGTAGGGCTCCTCTCATTTCCTTTAAATTCCTGTGGCTCCACCTGGAAGCACAGGCTGTGGGCCTGGAAGTGATACCTAATTTGCAGAGGGTCCTGCAGGCCGGGCTCAGGCAGAGATCCCGGAATTGTAGGACTGCGCATCTGGAAGGGGGAGGAGGGGGCAGCCCTGCAGGGATCTTTGGGATGGATCGCTCAGGTGAGCTCCAGGAGCTCTTGCCAAAGAGCAGGGGAGGCATCTATTCATTTCAGACCCTGGAGGATCCTGCCCCAGGGAGGACTGTTGGTAATTGTCGAGCTGCTCAAGGATAATGAGCCCCAAAGAAGTGTCCAGTCTAAGGCTACACTGCCACCTGGTGGTCACACTGGCACATAGTACTACGAAATTGTGCCTCCTCCCACACACACTTTGAGGGGAAAAGGGGTAGATGTTCAAGTGTAGGGGGGTCTGGAAGGCCCTAAAAGATAACAAAACTCCTTGATAAAGGGATTATTGTTATTAAAGACCAATGTATCTCTAAGCAGGGCGCAATGGTATGCTCAGATGAGGAGGCTCAGACAGGATTATTTGAGCCCCGGAGTTTGAGGCCAGCTGGAGCAGCATATCGAGATTCCATCTTGGGGGGTGGGGTGGGGGACACCTCTAAATCAAGCACTTGGGAAAAACTTCCTGGTCCTAGATGAGAGACAAACTCCTTCGGTCTCCCATTTCACAGACTAAGAAACTGAGGTCTAGAGAGGATCGATGAAGACAAAGGACCTCAACATTGTCTTCCAGCAAGGCAGTCAGAGATGAGGTCTGTTTTATCTTATTTGGCCCTGGAGATGGACTCTACCACTGAGCTGCACTGCCAACCCCTGGGATCTGTTTTGGAGTCATTTTAAGGTTTGGTCCTAGCATGAGGACCCCCTGCTAGTTTCTAGTCACTGATTTGTGACCAAACATGGCATCTTCCAGCACCACCACCCACTTTAGTCACAGAAGTTGGCACTACAAGGTGTCTCTGGGATGCTTCTAAAAATAAAATCCACCCAGAGGGCCAGGATCCGAGAGGGCTGAGGGGATGCAGATGCATTCAGTTCATCTCCAGCAGATGTTTAGAGCAGGAAGCTAGAGGCGACAGTATTCTGACCCTCTGGGTTTAAAGCAGGGAGCTGGCACTCTGGGACAGCAAGTAACTTGATTGAAGCCACCCAGCCCTGCAGCTAGGCCAGGACTCAGTTGTGTCTCTCCAAAGGCCAATTCCAGGGAGGAGTCTAAAATTGTGAGGCATCTTTTGACTTGCTGTATTGGTTACTTCTAGCCTGTGAAGCATTGGTGTGGTTGTACACACCTGTAATCCCAGATACTCAGGAGGCTGAGGCAGGAGGATGGTCAGTTCAAGGCCAGCCTGGGCAATTTAGCAAGACCTTGTCTCAAAATAAAATAAAAAAGGTCGGGATGTGACCACTGGTAAAGTGCTAGCCTGGCATGTGTAAGTCCTTGGCTCCAGTCCCCAGGACTGCAAAAATAAAATAAAATTCTGGTGTCCATTTGCCATGTTGTTTTGTGCTTTGGGGTGACTGTGGTCCGTGAAGGCTGACGAGGGTGGGGTAGGCAAAGGGGATGGGTTGAGAGGCAGTGACCAGGAGAAGAGGGGTCTTGGATGCACTGTGGGCTCCAAGTAGGTAGGAACTAGTCTCTTCCACTGTGGTGTCAGCATCTGGCACGCTGCCTGGCATGGGACTGAGTGCCCAGTAAATGCCTGTGGAATGAAGGCAAAGAGTTACACTGCACAGGCCCAGAGGGGAGGGATCTGGGGTGGGGTGGAGACTCCCCTGAAAGGACAGGTCATTTTCAGTGTCCTTCAGCTCAAGGACTGCTAAGGCCTGAGGTCTAGAGTCCCAGGGGCAGAGCTGTCCATCTTTCTCCAGCCTTGATGGTGCCTGAAGGAGGTTGTGTGTGTGTGTGTGTGTTTGTGTGTGTGATTTTTTTTTTTTTGAGACGAGATATTATATTCCAAGCTGGCCTCAAATTTTTTATGTCACTCAGACTGGCCTAGAACACATAATACTCCTGCTTCAGCCTCCTGAGTGCTGGGATTACAGGAGTGCACCTCATCTCTGTTTTATGCAAGTCCTTAATCATGACAGGAGCTGACATTTACCAAGCACTTCCTGTGGGCCAGGGTCTATGTTAAACCCTTTCCATACAGTGCCTCCACTGACATCTATGCACCTCTGCCACAGACAGTGCTGCTCTGGGGCCTGGGGTGGGGACATCAGCTGAGGCAAGCCATTGCCATCTACAGAGGCAGCATTAGAAACGGGGACAGGAGAAATGGGATGAAGAAGCATTTCTGGATAAGAGGGACTGGGTAGGGGAGGCCTGAGGGCACCTGGCTTAGAGCTCCTCCTCCCTGTTTTCTCTCCACTGAGGGGCTCCAGGCCTCTCGAAGTTACAGCTCATTGGGGACCAGCTTCTGGGGTTCCCAGACAGCCACCTCCCAGACACACAGGTCTCTGTGGCAGGCCAGGCTAACACTGGGCCTGGTGTGCCCACTCAAACTAGAACCACAGCATGATTCTCTCTTTTTGTTTTGGGTTGGTTTTGTTTGTTTGTTTGTTTTGAGACAGGTTCTTGCTATGTAGTTCAGGCTGGTCTAGAACTCACTATGTAGCCCAGACTGGCTTCGAACTCACAGTGATCCTCCTGCCTCAGCTTCCAGTAAAGCTGGGATTACAGGTGTGCACCACCACGCCTGGCTCCTTTATTGGTGTTTGACTTCCTTGGCCTCTCTGTCCTTCCCCTGTCTTGGTCGGGGCACCAGGATTTCCCTGGATAAGTCTCCCAAACTTTAAATCACCCCAACAGAACTTGTGTTGCTCTTCTTTTCCATTCAGGAGGCCTATAGGCACCACCTGCAAGCTGTTCATCTATCCTCTGAGTTGGAGGAGGAAAGGAAGACCTTGCCAAGCCCTCCAAACCTGCTTATATTCTCTGTCTGGGGGAGTCTGTGCTTTGTCACAGACTGGACTCCTGGCTTCTCCATCCTGCCTAACCAAAGAGTAGCTGGGGGCTTCTCTTAGTGAGAACACCCCTCATTCTGCTTCCCTCACCCCCAAGAACCCTAGGAAATGAAGCCTGGGCATTCCGTCCCTGACTGGTGACAGGAGGATCTGGCGCAGAGACGTCTCAAGGGAGGGGATGTCTGAGCTGTGCTCAGAGGACAATAGGGAGTTTTTCAGGAAGGTGAGCTTCAGAAGGGCATTCCAGCCTGGGAGCCACCCTGCTGTGGCCCAGAAACAAAATCAGCTGGCTCTGTCCCTGGAGCTGTGGTTGACCTGACAGGAAAATGAGGGTGGGAGCCTGAGGATAAGGCAGGCCAGAGCCAGGCCTTGTTGGGCTTCTCATTGCAAGGGTGATTCACAGGACAAAGTGTCTTCTGTTTTCTCATCTAGGTCATTGGGGAGAGTGACAGAGAAGGTTCTGGACTCCAGCTGGAAGAGGGAGGGCAGGAGGAATGAAAGGGTTTTGAGAACCACAGGCTACTCCTCCTCCCTGTTTTTCAAGGTGCTCATAGACAGGATGCTGCTGCCACCCAAAGTGAGCTCAGACAGGTCACTGAACCCCAAGCCCTAGGCCTGGGAATCCAAATGTCTGGAAACCATTGGTCTAGTCCAATCCCCTTACTTGCACATGGAGAAGCAGAGGCCCTGAGAGGGGAATCCAATTTCCTCTGTGTTACCATCCCAAACCAGAGATGACTGTCAGAAGTGAAAATTATCATCATCATCATCATCATCATCATCATCATCATCATCATCATCATCATCCTTTTCTTCATGTCTGGAATAAAAATACTATGTTATTAATAATGCTAACAACAAGGCCAGGGATTTAGCTCAGTGGTTTCGCCGCCTGCTACGCAAGCACAAGGACCCAAGTTCGATCCCCAGTACCAAAAAAAATAAATAATGCTAACAACAGCCATTGCTGTGGAGACCATCCTGTGGGGTGCTGGGGGGTTTACAAGGAGGGCATCAAGTCATCCTGTCAGGGTCCTGTGGCACATAAGGACATGACTGACAGCACAGGGGTGTCCCTAGCCTTGCCCACTGCAGGGGTGTGGTGCTTCTGTATCTTCCCCTTTGGCACCTCTGAGAAGGGCTCCTCCTTTTGGGCTGCCTCTTTGGGTTTTTGCCTTCCAGAATCGAGAGATGATGGAGGGTTCAGAAAGGAAGAGGGGAAGTCTGTGTGCTCTTTTTTCTTTCTTTTTTTTAAGTATGTTTTTTGTTGTTGTTTTGTTTTGGTACGGGGGATCGAACTCGGGACCTTGCACTTTTGAGGCAGGTGGCGGAATCACTGAGCTAAATCCCCAGCCTGTGTCCTCTTGATGTCTACAGCAGTGATGTCCTGCCCCACTGGGTTGTCAAAAGAATTCAGTGGTGCAGCCAGGCAGGGTGGTGCACCCCTGTAATGCCAGCACTCTGGAGGCTGAAGCAGGAGAATTGCCGAGTTTGAGGCTACATAGCGAGACCCTGTCTCAAAAAGACAACCAAACAAAAATTCAGTGATACAGGTACCTGAGTGCTTAGACATGTGTTAGTCATTCCTGTGGTTGTCCTTGTCCTTAGCCTTAGCACTGGCTAAGTGACCTTGGGTAGGGGTACTTCGTTTCTCTGGATCTCAGTTTAGTTAACTGTACAAATGGGATATTAATAGAGCCTATTTTAGAGGGTGATTGTGAGTTTAGAAACTGTTTAGCACTGTATCCTTAGTACTTAGAACCATGCCTCATACATTGAATTTGCTTTACGAAGTGTCACCCTGTCATCCCAGCACTCAGAAGGCGAGTTCAAGGCCAGCCTGGGCTACATAATGAGACCTGTCTCAGAAAAGCAAAAAAAAAAATTTTTTTTAAATAAACTTTTCTTGTGTGTGCTGGGGATTGATCCTGGGAACTGGAGCATGCAAGGTATACGTTCTACCTTGGCTCTGTACTCTCAATCAAAATAAACATATTATTACAATGCAGTGAATGTTGGCAGGCACCAAACACTGGCCATACCTCAACTCCATTTTTCAGAAAGAACGTACAGAGAGATATAAAGGAGCTTGCCCAAGGTCACACAGCAAATTGTGTAGCTTAGATACATATTCAAGACCATCAGAGTTCAAAACCTGTGCTTTTTGCATGATACCACAAAATAGTAAAGTGCATATGCTTCTGGCTCATCTCTAATGTGATCTTTGTCAGTTCCATGCTATTTCTTTTTTTTCTCTTTTAATTTTAAATTTTGAGGCAAAGTCTTGGTAAGTTGCCCAGGCTGGCCTTGAACTTGTGGTCCTCCTGCCTCAGCTTCCTGAGTAGCTGAGATTATATCATGTGCCACTGCACCTGACTCCATGCTGTTTCTTGGACTTAAAAGACAAAAAACCTTCCATGTATTATTTATTCAGTACTTTATGGCACAAGGTCACTTATGTCCATAACAACTCCATCAAGGGGGTACCATTTTTATCAACCATATGTTATAAACAAGGAAATTGAGACTCAGAAAGGTTAAGTAATATTCCCAAGGCTGCACAGCCAGGAAGAGGCAGTCAGGATTTAAACCCACAGTTGACTGATGCCCAGACTCACACTTTCAACAACCACTCCAGATGGCTTCACCTACCCTTAAAGATGAACTCACAGTCACATTGGATCCTGCAATCAGAAATCATCCAGACCTTTGGGAAGGTGAGGTGGATTCATCGCCATTTCACAGAGGAAGTAACCAAGGGAAAGTGACAGGGTTAAGGCCAGAGAGAGCAGGCGTGGCCCCTAGTAAGCTAGGTCTTGGGGTTTGCATCCCACCTCCCTAAACGCCCCGCCTGCCTGTCCCCTCTGAGCACTCCAGGGACCAAGGCAGCCCAGCTGTCAGGCGCAAGGCTCTCAGGCAGGCAGCCTGGCAGAGGGTGGCAGCTTGACACCCACACTCACAGCTCCTGGGCTACCTTGGAGGAGAGAAGAGAAGCCGTCCCCCCCCCCCGCCTGGAGCCTGCTGATAGATGGGCGCAGCAGCGAGGAAGCGGCTCTTTGGCTGCAGGCTGGCTTTGTATAATCACATTTGGATCCCCTCCACCCAGCCCCAGGCATCCAATCCTTGTCAGAGTTTCCATTTCCTGCACTCTGCAGAGTTTTCTGCTCTCCTGTCTTCCAGCTCTGCTCGGCGGCAGCAGCATCTGCGCACTGCCTGCTGGCAGACAGCTCGAATTCAAGCTGGGGACTTTTGGAACAGCAAAGAGTATTCAAGCATGTTAGGCCACAGGGGGAGCCATGGCCAGACTGGGCTGAGTGAAGCCAACCCCCAGCTTCCCTTGGGGCGCAATCCAACCCAGTCAATGCTAATACCTCCCATTTATTGAGCACTTGCTGCATGCCAAGACCTGTGTACAGTGCCCTGTGTACACGGCAAGCTCCTTCCAATGCCACAGTGGTCTGTGACATACCATGTGCTGTTTATAATCCCCAGAAAGCTTTGGAAATGCTTCATTCCATTCCATTGTTCTCTCAGGCTGGCTGCTTCTGTGTGATAGGCACATGGTAAGAACAGGGAAGCCCATATTTGTGTGGCCATCTTAATACTTTTTTTCTTTTTTCACTTTAAAATGGGTTCCCTGGCCTTAGGTAATAGGTAGAGCACGTGGAGCATTCTTTAAAGCCTCTGGTGGCATTGCTTGTGGAGGCACAGTGGGTAAGCAGTGAAGCCTATATTGGGAGAATCATTATTCTAGTGAGGATGAATCATTGGCTTCTCCAAAGTGGAAGGGTCCGATCCGCATAACTGACCTTCCCCCAGGTGCCTGGCTGTTCTCTCTGAGCAATGTGGCCACACTGCTGCCTGCTGCTGGCAGGCTGGCTATTTGTTGGCAGCTGCTACATCAGCCTTGATGAGAGAGAGTTTAGGTTGTTGGGTCGGTTCTTGCCTCCATTGTCACCACCATGGATGCCCTTTGATAGGTTTATTACAGAGCAGTAGGGGGTGAAGTTTAGAGGCCAGCTGACATGCACAGGCTGGGTCAGCTCGACCGTCTGGCTCTAGAGCCTCCTCTGCAATGATCCCGGGTCAGCATTAGTGTGAGACACAGAGATCCACATGTCTTGTGCCCACTCCTGTAGGTCCATCCATATGCCCCTTCCCCTTCCAGTCTTGTTATTTCCATGCCCTTGACCCACTGCCACCTATTAGGAATTGGTGTATGTCAGTGTCTCTCTCTCTCTCTCTCTCTCTCCCTCTCTCTCTCTCCAAAGAGGATCTCAGAGTATACTGCTCATGTTTCTGCCCTGGGACAATTCCCCACTGTCCTTCAGGACTGCCCCCAACTCACACTTCCACCTGGTGCCAAAATACCATATTGATATTTCTCTGAATTGGGTTCAGTTCTTTGTCTCCTTTATCAAAAGACAGGTGTCAGACCAGGCATGGTGGCGCATGTCTGTAATCCCAGCACTTGGGAAGCTGAGGCAGGAGATGAAGAGTTTGAGGCCAGGCTGGGCTACAGACTAATACTCTATCTCAGAAAACAAAAATAAATAAACAACAACAAAACAAACAGGAAGAGGTGTCAGAACAACAGCAAGGTGCCATGGGAGTCTGAGCCCCTGTTCATTTAATTTACTCATGCTTTTGGGGCCCCTCTGGCCCAGCCATGAATATCTCTGTTGGATTGCTGATATGCCTGTCTCTATAATATCCAGCTTAAAACACGTAGCCACCCGGCAGCCAATGGTCAGATGCTTTGTTACTACTGGCGACAGACACATCAGGACCTTTTTGTCCAGATGGACCATGACGAGCGTGGCCTGACTCCAGAACCCTTCGAGCCCTTACTGAACTCTATTTGGCCCTTCAGAGACTTCCCATGAATCTTTATCCTCAGGCACCTCCAGAAACATTGTATCTGCAGGATCCTCTAATCCCAAGTGACTTGTTTTGTGGCCTAAACCTGCTGCTCCTGCCTCTTGTTCTGGGCGCCACTCACAATTGGCAGCCTTCCAGGCCACCTAATAAAGGGCTGGAGAAATATTTCTACATGTATAAATTCTGCCTCTGCCGATATCTAGAGACCACCAAACACTGTAGCTCTTTTTAAGAGCAGGACATGTGATAAGAGAGCTCGTCCTTGGCCTGCCCCAAACCAGTGAACTCCTAAGACTGTTACCAAGGTGGCAGGACCACGAATCTTCATGACATTTCTATCTTCTGCCAAACATGGTGCTTGCCATCTTCTGCTCCTGTCCCATCAGCATGATGGTGTCCATGTAGTGGACTCGCATGTTTTTCTGTATACTCACAGAGGCATGGAAAGTCCGTGGGAGAGAGCAGAGGTGCTGTCATTGCAACAGTGTGGTATAAAAGGAAGTTGTCTCTGGTCATCTTTTCTCCTGGGTACTGAAAACAAGCGTTTAACAACCCAATCACCATACACAGCACTTGAAAGTGCGCTAACTGCTGCAGGACAGAGCCCACTTCCCAGAGCAGCTCTGATGACTGGTTCTCACCTGGTTATGTTCGCTGTTGCCCATCTACCAGCCACCATGACCCATCTGCTTTCCCACAGGCCAGGCAAGTGAGCAAAGTGGGCGCCAATGGAGAATAAGCATAACCAAAACAGTAGGTGACATACTGCAGAAGCAGGGCAGGGTAGTGTGATGGTGAGTTTAGTGTGTGAAATGGCCAGGCCATGGTGCCCGGATATTTGGTCAAACTGGTCTAAGCAGGGCGTTGTGACACACACCTGTAACCCCAGTGTTTTGGGAGGCTGAAGCAGAGGACTGCAAGTTTGAGTCCCACTTGGGGAATTTATGAACTCTGTCTCAAAATAAAAAATAACACCACAAGTTCAAGGCCAGCCTGGGATACTTAGTGAGTTC